TTTTTAAATAAAAATTTAAATTAAAAAAAATTAAAATTTATGGTGTTATGGTAACTATAATGTAAAAAATGATAATAAAAACCCTTAAACATCCTTAAAAAATTAATAGACGAATATATTGATATTTACTTTTTTTCATACTCTAATAAACACCTTTAGAAATTTTAACAGTGAAAATTGGAATGAATGAATTATGAAAGGGAATGTGAAGGAGAGTTTCTAAAAGAAAAAAATTGATTGGTGTTAATTTGATTTAGATAAATAAAATACTATAAAGGAATAAAAATAGTAAAGTTATATTTTTATTCAACTAAATATCTTAAAGAAAAATAAAATATTATAATTTTATAAATTAAATTAATAATTGATAATACTAATGATCTATTAATCCAATATGTGAATCACGCAATTTAACTCTAAATTAATTAAAATTTAATATAATTTTTAAATATAAAAATTTGAGTACCAGAGGTTAGTAAAAAGATAATAATTAATAATATTTGTTTATATAAGGAAAATAATAGTAACTCAATAGTCAATCCCAGCCGATTCATCCAATTTGGAGAAATTCAATTGAAAACAGAGGAGTTGAGAAGGCCATACTACCCGTTCATCTCCCCCAGACCCTCACCCTCATTTACCATACTTAAACCAAACAACAGCAAAGAGCCCATTCAAAATTATCATACAGTTTGGACTTTGGATTACAAAATTTCTTTTTTCAAAATAAAATATATAACATTCAAAATTATAAAAATGCTGCAATTTATAAAATTAATTTTACATTGATGGCTCCCATAAAAATTTAAATAAAATAAATTAAAATTGACGGTCCAAAATGAGAAACAATAACCTTTCATAAAAACGTAAACCTTAGGCCCAAAATACAAAAAGCCCAACCCAGAGTCCCCAACGTTCACCCACTTCCCGCCGGCTACATCTCCGCCAGTGTAGTCTTATGCCGGCTTTATCGGAATTACCTGCTACGCCCTCAGACCTTCAATTCGTTAAGCTGGACGAAGCGCTTTTAGACGAGGACTGTACCGGTTAGAGAGTTGCATTCTTCTTCTTGTACAGGTTCGCTTCTAGGACGAGTGCAGCTCGTTGACCGCCACAGACCTTCTTTCCGGCAACTAACACTAAGGAATTTTCTTTTGATATGTTTATTTATGGGTTTTATTTGTTGACAATTGGGTGTTGTTTAATTATGTATGAAAAATGCAATTACTTTGTTTGAAGAAAAAATATGGAGCCCTCTGTCCTCTGTTTCAAGTCTCAGCGTTTGCTCTCTTTGCTGCTACCCTTAGGTTCTTTGATTTATGTTTGTAGAGATAAGGATATTGGTTTTTGAATTCTTGC